ACCTTCCTCACCAGAATGGAGCAAGCCCTCCCCTCTTCTGTCCCAGACACACCTTGAGGATCTCATCTCCAACAATGATGATGCCCGCCGTCACATTGCGCCCCGGGGGAAGTTCAGAGGCCCTAGATGCCATGGTCCTGCCGTCTTTGCGCCTGTGCAATGTCCTGCAGTAGACACGCAGACCCCCAAATAGGGGCCGCAAGCACTGAGGAACCGCCAGGTCTACAGGGCACTGGAAGCCATAGGCTGGAAGCAGGCTCCGGAGTCGAGGAAACATGGAGGGCATCAGTGCACGTTCCCTCCTTAGAGGAAGACTCAGTATTTTCGAATCACATCCACAACTCCTTTATTCCCCGCATCTTTAATAAACGTGTCCTAAGCCCCAACTCACGCTCCTATGTCTAGACTCCAGTCTCCCGAGAACCTATCACTTTAAATGTCTTCTGTGTGCCGAATCGTCCAGAAGCGTGTTCTCTATCCCGGGCATCTGCCCCTTTAAATGTCCCTTCTCTTCGGGGCACCTGTCCCTTTAAATGTCTGCCTTAACTTGGGACTTAGCCCCTTTAAATACTCCACCACTGACCAGCACCCAATCGCCTTCAGCACCCTTTTTATTCAGGAACCCTTCTTCCCACCTATCTTCAGACTACTGATCTTTCCGAGGATCTCACCTGTCTATTTTGACCCTTCACCGTGTCTTTCCTTTCCTCATGTCCTGGGACAGCTTCCGTACTCAAAGCCCGGCCCTACATCACCTCACATTGATTGGTCATCTTGGATGTCGCTCAAATTCTATCCCATAGTTCTATTGGTTTAGATGACAGTCGCTCATGTGCTTTATTCCCGCAGGCGGGAGCAATGCTACGTTGTTAGTGGCAACACCACACGTTCACTTCTCGCCCGGAAATGTGGGGGCGGGACCTTAGCCTTTGGAGGGCGGGTCCTGGAAAGATTGGCGCGCCAAACGAGCTGTTTGGACTTGGAGTTGCTCTAAAAACTTTGGGGTGAGGCTTTCCGGTCCTGAAAGTAAATGGAGGTTTCACTTTATTCTCCGTCTGTTTTCAAATCATGCATGCGTATCTTTTTTTCCCCCGTGCTAGAGGGGCAGGAGCTAGTAGTTTTTCGTTTTGTTTTTTTGGTCGGTCGTGGGACTTGAACTCTGGGCCTGGGTGCTGTCCCTCAGCTCAAGGCTAGTGCCCTACCGCTTGAGCCACAGCGCCACTTCCGGCTTTTTCTGATTTTGTGGTGCTGAGGAATCGAACCCAGGGCCTCATGCATGCAAGGTGAGCACTCTACCACTGAGCCACCTTCCCAACCCCCAATGTGGGTCTTAAACTCTGGGCCTGGGCACTATCCCCAGCTCTGCAGCTCAAGGTGAGTCCTCTACCACTTGAGCCACAATGCTACTTCCGGCTTTCTGGTGGTTAATTGCAGAGGAGTTGCACAGACTTTTCCCGCCCAGGCTGGCTCTGAACCGGGATTCTCAGATCTTGGCTTCCTGAGTAGCTAAGATTACAGGCCACTAGTGCCAGGCTTAGTCTATAAAATCTTGAAAGGTAAATAACACACATAGTTTACAAGTCAAGTAACAGGCTTAGAAAAGTGAAGGAATTCTACTTCTCGATTTAAGTTTGTGGTGGATAGCTTTTCAAAAAGACTTCAAGCTTTTTGAGAAGCTCATATTTCTCATCAACATTGTATGTCTTAGAAGCTGGATTTCTTTTTTTCCTGGGGCTTGAATTTAGGATCTGGGCCCTGTCCCTGAGCCTCTTTTTTTTTTTTTTTTTTGGTCCAGTCGTGGGGCTTGAACTCTGGGCCTGAGCGCTGTCCCTCAGCTCTTCAGCTCAAGGCTAGCGCTCTACCACTTGAGCCACAGCGCCACTTCCGGCTTTTTTCTTTTTGCTTATGTGGTGCTGAGGAATCGAACCCAGGGCCTCGAGCATGCAAGGCAAGCGCTCTACCACTGAGCCACCTTCCCAGCCCCCCTGAGCCTCTTTGTGATCAAGGCTAGCGCTCTACCACTTCAGCCACAGTGCCACTTCCGGCTTTTTCTGAGTAGTTTATAGGAGATAAGGGTCTCATGGACTTTTCTGCCTGGATCTGTCTCCTGAGTAGGATTACAAGGGTGAGCCACTGGCTTCTGGTTTGGGAGCTAGATTTGAAAGTACTTTAACACTATAAAATCATAAGGGCCAGCCTTAAGTTCTTTCTCTAGTGATAAGCCTTTTTTTTTTTTTTTTCTTTTTTGGCCAGTCCTGGGGCTTTAGCCACTGGTGCTGGCTAAGCTCTGTTATTTTTTAAGTTAAAAAGCCAAAAAATTAGCCAGGCACTGATGATTCACACCTGTAATGCTAGCTACTAGGAAGCTGAGATCTGAGGATTGCGGTTCAGAGCCAGCCAAGGCAGAAAGTCTGTGAGATTCTTTTTTTTTTTTTTGGGTCCGGTCATGGGGCCTGAACTCTGGGCCTGGGCACTGTCCCTCAGCTCTTCAGTTCAAGGCTAGTACTCTACACCACTTGAGCCACAGCACTACTTCTGGCTTTTTTCTTTTTTGCTTATGTGGTACTGAGGAATCAAACCCAGGGCCTCATGCATGCGAGGCAAGCGCTCTACCACTGAGCCACCTTCCCAGCCCAGAGATTCTTATCTCTAATTAACCATCAGAATACCAGAAATGGCACTGTGGCTCAATGTGGTAGAACACTGTCTTTCAGCAAAAGAGCTCAACGCCAGTGCCCAGGCCGAGTTTAGCTAAGTGCCATGATCGGAAAAGCAAAACAACTTGTGGTTGGGGATGGAAGGGAAAAACTGGTTGTGAGGGAAGGGGTGACAATGTCCAAAAGATATGTACTCTTTACCTGACTTATGTAGCTGTAACCCCTCTGTACATTTCCTTTATAATAACAATAAAAAAAATCACCCACCCCAATCAGGTAAATGAAACAACGGAACACCAAAAGTACCTATTTGTCTAGTGACATAAGTAAGCTTCATGTTGAAATATCTTTATTTAACAAAGGTGGCATCACCCCCTTCTAAAATGTCAACTCTGTTCCAATCTTTTACTACTGAGTCCTCAAGCTTAAACACACACAAAAATGACTTGGAACGTTTAACATGTTGCTGGATCCAATCCCTTTAGAATTCAAGAATTCAATAGGTTTGGAATGGAGTACCCCAGTAATTTGAATTTCTGAGTTTCCAGATGATAGTGATGCTTCTTAGTCCAAAGATAACAGCTGAAAACTATTATAGGAATAGATAGAAGATGAGGGGTGTGTGGGGCTGGGAAGTTGGCTCAGTGGTAGAGCGCTCGCCTTGCATGCTTAAGGCCCTGGGTTCAATTCCTCAGCACCACATAAGCAGGAAAAAAAAAAGCCAGAAGTGGCGCTGTGGCTCAAGTGGTAGAGTGCTAGCCTTGAGCTGAAGAGCTGAGGGACAGCACCCAGGCCAAGAGTTCAGGCCCCACCCCCCCCCCAAAAAAAAAAGATGAGGGGTGTGGAGATTAACACCCTTAACACCCCTACTTAGCACTAGTATTTTTTTTTTTTTGCCAGTCGTGGGGCCTGAACCCTGGGCCTGGGTGCTGTCCCTCAGCTCTTCAGCTCAAGGCTAGTGCTCTACCACTTGAGCCACAGCACCACTTCCTGCTTTTTCTGCTTATGTGGTGCTGAGGAATTGAACCCAGGGCCTCATGCATGCAAGGCAAGCACTCTACCACTGAGCCACCTTCCCAGTCCATAGCATTAGTATTTTTAGAGTATGAATTTTTTTTTTTTTTTTAACTTAGGGCCTGAACTCTTGCTTGGCTTTCCCACATAAAAGTGGCACTTTACCAGCCACACCTTTACTTTCTGTTTTTTTGCTGGTTAATTGGAGATAGAGTCTTGTTAATTTGTCTGTACCATTGGTTGGTTTCAAACCAAGATCCTTAGATCTCAGCCAGGTAAGAGTAACTACAATTACAGGCATAAGCCGTATGTGTCTGACCTAGAACACAAACGATCAGTGAGACAGTCTTTTTTTGAAAATTTTCTGGTAGTACTAGGGTTTGCTCAGGCACTGTACCGTGAAGCTACACCTCCAGACCTGGTTTGTGCAGGTTGTTCTTGAGATAGGGTCTTATGTCCACTCAGCACGTGTCTATTTTAGGCTTCCCATAATTGTTGTGAAGATAGGCATGCACCACACTGTCTAGCCACTTCCCTCCATGAGATGGAGTCTCAGATATTTCTGTCTGGCTAGTCTCAAAACTGAGATCTTCCCATTCTCAGCTTCCCAAACAGCTAGGATTACTGGTGTGAACACTGGGTGACCAGCACTTGGTGAAATAGCCTAATTTACACTTGTTTTCTCTTAAGCTTAATGCTGTTAACTACTGTTTTAAAAATTCCATGATCACCCCTCTATACAGTATATTCACAAAAAATAAAAATTAAAATTATAAAAAAAAAATTCCATGATCAGACCACTCCAGACCAGTTTATCTCCACAACCAGCTCAGATGGACATCAGAATTTGTAATTCAAATGCTCAGCCAAATTTGCTAACTACTAAAAACTTTCCCAATTAATTGGCACAGTGAACACGTCACGGGTGTGCTGGAGTCTTGGGCAGGAATTGGAGCAAAAAAGCAGTCTCTAGTTGACAACTTCTTCCTTTAACTTTTGTATACCCTTCAAATACTGAAAACTACACTGACTATAGGGAACAGTTCATTTGTTTTGGTGAGATGAGACTGCCCCAATGTAAGCTCTACCTCATGCTAATAGTTGTAGGGGAATACATTTCGGTGAAGGTCTGACAATCAAATCTGCTTCAAGTAAATTAACAAACTAGTTGCTAGACTGTTTTAAACCTCATTTGGAAAGAGTTTTCATTATCAAATTGCAGGGTATATAATTAGAACCACGATGGTGAATATGACTGTAAGCCTGAGAATAAGAAAAACACCCTTATGATCACAAAATTAGATTATAAAAACTTCCTCTTTAATCAAGTCTTGAAACACAGAACAGGTTTCTTGAATAAAATGGAAAATTTCAATACATTGAGAGATAAATCCACAAGTCACCAGACATACAATACCTAGTAGGAAAAAAATAAAATAGTGGGTTTACACAATCCCAGGTATAGCCATGGTCTGATTCTTAAGATGCTTCCTCCCTCTGTCAAGTGCTCTGTGGATACAGAGCACACCATGACTTCTGAGATCCCACTTAGCTGAGCTTGAAGCCCACAAAGCACTCCTCTGGTAGGGCTGTGGTGGTGGCTCTACTCAAGAAGCAAAGCAGTTTTCAGCACATTCAAACAGTGTATCAAACATCCTTTAAATATCAAAGTGAGAAAAAAGAAAGCAACATATTCATGCTATGAGAAAGATGTTAGAAAGGACAGGCTGTGTAAAGTTGAGGTTGGAAATGGTTCTCCAGCTTCATTTCTTTGGCTTGTTGGGTAGTGGCCTCCGGAACAGCAAGATATGAGGTTCTGGAAGAGCAAGTAAATTCTAAGAAACAAGCTCACACCATTCTATGCACAACTGTAATGTATTCCACCACCACCGCCCAGCTATCACCCATTCAGATCTTTCTAACTAAATTAAGATGTAACCATATGGCCTTAGAAGCAGACCCAGAAGTCTGGCCTGTCTGCCTAGCACAGAATTGTTAATATCAATTCTTTTTTTATGTTTGTACAGCCTTGGGGTGTCCTTTATTAGTTTTGCCTGGCAGGTGGGTGTCTGGTATCTTATCAAGAAATATAATTTCCTCTGCTTTTCTGGAATACATCCAAGAACATGCTTTCTGATGGAAAACAAAACAGAGGCCACAACCAGGGTATGTGGCTTTAAAGGGTGCTTCTGACTGAATTAGGACTAAAGGCTTTTCAGTAACTAGTTGTCGCTAATCTTCTTAGTTATTTTACTCTTCTTCTTCTGTTTTTTGGCTATTCAAGGACCTAGTAAACCATTCCCTATATTCCTACTGCTTTAGGTTATGCATTCTTATTCCTTTAGTCCCTCAGTATAGCAGTCTACATGGTTTGTTGCTTTTAGCCATTGCACTGACCTGGTTCATGGATCATATAATGAACCCATCCCTGACTCTGTTGAACGCCAAGATTCCTCCATTCAGATTCAGACATCAAATGGGTTTTAGGGACAAGTTTGGCTATGTCCTTGGGTAACATGACATGCCTGTAACAGAAAAATGGTAAGGTGAGGAATGTGTGTCAGAACTGGGTACAGTCTGTTAGGCAAATACTCGTTTGGTTTTTTTTTTTGTTGTTTTTTTTTTGGGTCTGGTCGTGGGCCTGAACTCTGAGTCTGGGCCCTGTCCCTTAGTTCTTCAGCTCAAGGCTAGCGCTCTACCACTTGAGCCACAGCACCACTTCCGGCTTTTTTTTTCTGCTTATGTGGTGCTGAGGAATCGAACCCAGGGCCTCATGCATGCAAGGCAAGCGCTCTACCACTGAGCCACCTTCCCAGCCCCAGCTAGGCAAATACTTGTATACAAAGACAAGGACAGAAAAGATAGACTGGTTTCTGATGTCAGGAAGTACATACATTTTTACTGTGGGATGGAAACAGCTAGAAATACATGTAAATGTTCACAAAATTAGGAATAATTCAAGCAGATACTAACATCTAACTCCAGACACTGTTGCTATGTATTTTCTGATATTATGGGCTTTACAGTCTTCTGGTTGACTACCCACAATACAATGGAAGCCCCACAGAGCACATAGAGATAACAGGTAAAAGTTAGATTGGGAAGGAAGGAACAAGTTATTTTGTAGAAAGTCCTTTTTTTTTTTTTTGGTCAGTCATGGGAGCTGAACTCTGGGCCTGGGTACTATCCCTCAGCAATTCAGCTCAAGGCAAGAGCCTTATCACTTAAGCCACAGTGCCACTTCCAGCTTTTTCTCTGCTTATGTGGTGCTAAGGAATTGAACTCAGGGCCTCATGCATAGGAGGCAAGCACTCTACCACTGAGCCACCTTCCCAGCCAGAAAGGCAATTTTTTTTTAGTGTAATTTCAGTCGTCCTAAGGAATACTGACCTCATCTTCCTAACTCACTCAGAAGGGATGTTCCATGAGACTTGGAAAATTCCATGCTTTCTAATCAAAGGCTAATGGCAAAGAAATTACTACTCTGACTTGAATCAGACTACACCAGATAAGACTTTATCATACTCAGAGAAAATGTACTAAATGTTCCCTCTGTGCTATTGACAAGAGGTCCCCCTAGCCCCTGAGATAATTCTGGTCTAAATGTATGAAAATAGTTTACAATCTCTAACAAGCCCCCTGACACCAAATTTGGCTTCATTACAAAAATGAAAGAGCTCTCTCTCTCTTTCTCTTTGTTGGTTGTGGGGCCTGAACTCAGCATTGGGTGCTGTCCCTCAGCCCTTCAGCTCAAGGCAAGCACTCTACCACTGGAGCCACAGCACCACTTCTGGCTTTTTCTGCTTATGTGGTGTTGAAGAGTCGAACTCAGGGCCTCATGCATGCAAGGCAAGCACTCTACCACTAAGCCACCTTCCCAGCCCTTTTTCTACTTTTAGGAACATGGCAATTGTGTGTGTAAAGTAGGATAAGCAGATAGTTTGTGGGTTTTTTTTTTTTTTTTTTTTTGGTCCAGTCCTGGGACTTGAACTCAGGGCCTGAGCATTGTCCCTGAGCTTCTTTTGCTCAAGGCTAGCACGCTACCACTTGAGCCACAGCATCACTTCTGGCCTTTTCTGTTTATGTGGTAGAGGAATTGAACCAAGGGCTTCATGTATGCAAGGCAAGCACTCTACCACTAAGCCACATTCCCAGCTCAAGCATATACTTTTAATTAGTAGTACCAATGTAGAGAAAAACAGCTGAAGGTGAGAAAGTTAATTAGGTTCAAGGCAGATAAAAGTTATGTTTTTGTCAACACACACCAACTTTTGCAAAGTGCCCCAAATCTTTAACTAGGCTAAGTAAAGAAACAGAATTCTCCAAGTGAACAAAAAACAAACCAGAAGTTACCTGAAGTATTACAATTAACACAGATTACTGTAATGCAGTATTTGTAGAACCCTTTGCATTCTCTCATTTTCCAGTGTAGAATTATTATGGATCTAGAACTTATCAAATCCATGGAATGGGTGAATCTAATCATGGTACACAGTGTGCACATATGTCTCTATCAAAATAACCCCCTTTGAACAACTAATTGGCACTAGTAAGAAAAACAGGGGCCGGGCGCTGGTGGCTCATGCCTGTAATCCTAGCTACTCAGGAGGCTGAGATCTGAGGATCCAGGTTCAAAGCCAGCCCGGGCAGGAGAGACCGTGAGACTCCTATCTCCAATAAACCACCAGAAAACCGGAAGTGGAGCTGTGGCTCAAGTGGTAGAGCGCTTGCCTTGAGCTGAAGAGCTGAGGGACAGCGCTCAGGCCCAGAGTTCAAGCCCCATGACCGACAAAAAAAAAAAAAAAAAAAAGAAAGAAAAACAGGGGGAAAATAAATTAAACCAAGGGAAAAAATAAAAAAGAATTTATCAAAACCAAACATTGCATCCAGTACAAGAATTTTCTTCACAATCCTTAGGAGATGTATTTTCCAAACCATTTCAGTATCATTTCAGGCAATCTTCCCTAGGGGTTTCCCTCTAACCTTTATTCCCCCAAAGTCCAGTGGACTCCCATCACATCCCGTCCATAGGTTTAGTAAACAGCATGTGTTGTCACGTTGAGTCTGTTACCTTTCACATATTTTTAAGTTTGTGACTTGCAGAAACCTAAGCACTCCATCACTTTCAAGTATCTGAAGGTTATCTACAAGGACCACAATTAAGTTTTTGTCTTATGTTCCTGTCTTTCCAATAAGCCACACTTAAGCTCTTTCAAAACTCCCCTAGTATTGAGGACATTGGGAAAATTCTAGGTCCACTTTTGCCTTCTTCAGGTGTCTTTAAAGGATTAGAGTGACACAAGAAGTTTCCCAAAGGGAAGCTTATTTTATTTTACCGGTCCTGGGGCTCGAACTCCGGGCCTTGGCGCTACCCCTAATCTTCTTTTGCTCAAGGCGAGCGCTCTACCACTTGAGCTACAGCGCCACTTCCGGTTTTCTGGTGGTTTATTGGAGATAGGAGTCTCACGATCTCACCTGCCCGGGCTGGCTTCGAACCGCGATCCTTGAGTAGCTAGGATTACAGGCGTGAGCTACGGCGCCCGGCTTCCGAAGGGAAATTTAAAGTTGTGAGAATAATCCAGAAGCACCAAGGTGAAGACGGTCAACCGTGCTACTATTAAAGGGCTCACTCCACATCCCATTTCATTGTTTTTACCACACCTCCCAACACTCGCACAGGCGAGCAAGGCTTGCAACCAATCTCACGCCCCTCCCGTTAACTTCCTGCGCAGGCGCGAAGTGTACGCGCCTATCCCCGCCCCCCACCGGTCCCAGTATCTCTTCGTGCCCTCATAGTCAAAGCTGCCGACCTCGCTACAGCCCCCGCGCGGGCACTAACCGGTATTCGAACTCCTCATCGTCGTATTTATCCGAATAGTAAATTTGTTTATGCGACATGACCGCTCCACCAGCGAATTTCCAGCCGCGAGCTCCCAACCTCCAAACAACTCCCGACAGCACGCGCTCCCACCCTCTTTGGCCTCGCTTTCAAACACACCGCCTGCACTTCCTATTGGTCCTTTTGGTCTAAGGCGGGACAACTCCAACTTTAAGCCTTTGATTGGCTTAGATTTGCTTCTCTTCGAGTTCTTATTGGCGTGCAGTTCTGACGTTTCTTAAGAACACAGCTTTGGGTCAAAATCAGGCCTCTTATTGGCTGTCTCGACTCCTGGGCTCGTACTTGCGCTGTCATTGGCTGAGTCAGAAAAGTGGGCTGGGTGAAGGAGGGACCGTGAGGTAGAGGGTCAGGGGGTTAGTGAGGCCGGAAGTGAGTGGAATAAAGTTTCTCCGGGGAGGCCCGGGCCAGGAAGAAAGTTGGAACAGCGAATGAGGCAGGCAGTGGCGTAATACGGAACAAGATTGGCCCGCGGCGCGGTGCGGAGACTCCATGAGGCCCTGGTGAGTCTTGAATTTTTTTCTTCCTTGGGTGACCCACTCCTCCACCCCGGAACCCCTCTCTCGGGACCCTACTTCCGGTCTTCATTTATAAGTCCCGCCTCTACGACCCCCCCTCCGGAAGTCCCACCTCCCTACTCTAGGGGGCTCCCCGAACCCCGACTTATCTTTTGCTGTCGCGACCACACCCTATCGCCTAGCTTTCCTGGAAGTCCCACCTCCAGACACGCTCCCAGGCCCCACTATAAGAAGCCCTTCATTAGTCGGTCCAGTTCTCCAAAACTCCTCCTCTTCACCGGGATTCTCCGCTAACTTCTGTGAAAAACCTATCTTCCCAAAGGGCTAAACCAGTCTCCAGAAAGAACGAATGACTTAGTTGAAGTTACGCCTCTCTCGGGGTTCCGCCTCCTCTGGGGACCCCGCCCCTTCCGCCATCCACGTCGGATTGTCCCAACGCGGGTCTTGGAAGTCTGGAGCAGGCTTTGTGGGGGACCACGCCCCCTGAGGAGATTTATTGCTGTGGGTCCCAGGTCATCACCCTACCCTGGTCTTCAATCCCGGAGACTCCCTCCACCTGCTGATACTTCCCTGTCCTGTCTCTATTTGGGCCTCGCGCTCAGTTTTCATTTGGCGGAGCTCTTAGGCTCCACCAAATGGGAAGTCCCAAGTGCCTGTGTCTGGCTGTGAAAAAGGAGAATTTAGAGACAGCGGTTTTCTTCTCTCCTACGCTTCTAGGGTGACCAACTTGGAAGGGGGCTGAACTTGGGATCTGGGGTGGGAAAAAGACTGCTCAGAGATTCCCCACTCCACTGTCACAATTTTCCTTCTGGTTACCGACTCCACTCCAGAAACAGCTGCAGGTCGTACCTGACCATGCCTAGTTACGGGCAGTGGATTTGTTGATGTGTTGTCTGTATAATGGAAGCAAAAATTTTCTATCACCAGGAAATGGCTGGTTTGGAGTAGGGATTAGTGTTCTTTTTGTTGTGTTTTTTGTTTGTTGCTGTTTTTTTTTTTAAGTCCCCCTTCTCTGATTCTTCCCCGCCCTCCCCTCCCCCCCCCCCCCCCCCCCCCCCGAGCTTTAGTCCATTCATTCTGGTTGCATTTGTGGAGCTTTCCCTGCTGGACACATTCCTGAGGCTTTCACCATTTCCTGCTACTTCTTGCGGCTCTAGCCTCCTCCCTGCTGGGCTGTGTAGCAACGTGCAGCCTCTCCCCTTCCCCACCCCACCCCCATCACCTGGACTTCTAGTCCCAGATCTGCTTTCTCCTGATGCAAGTTTAAGGCAAACATCCTTTTCCTCCCCCTCCCCAAATACCCACACCTGTTGGTCATTCCCAGCTTCAACTCCCCTACATACCATCTCAAGAGGAAGGTGTACTGGTGTGTTTGTGTGGTTAGGAGTGTAAGGTCATGGCAGAATTCCTCTTGAGGAGTGGAGGATTCAGTGACAAGCTCTCCTGGGACAATAAGGGACAGTGAAAGAGTTATAAACATAGGAAAAAACATTTTAAGTGCTAGTATTTTAATCACTAAAGTAATATATTTTTTTAAGCCGGGTACCTGTGGCTCATGCCTGTAATCCTAGCTACTCAGGAGGTTGGGATCTGAAGATCACGGTTCAAAGCCAGCCCAGGCAGGAAAGACCCGTGAGCCTCTTATCTCCAATAAACCACTCAAAAAATCAGAAGTGGAGCTGTGGCTCAAGAGGTAGAGCTCTAGGCTTGAGCTGAAGAGCTGAGGGACAGTGCCCAGGCCCAGAGTTCAAGCCCCACAACTGACCAAAAACAAAATAGATTTTTTTTAATCCTTTGAAATAGACCTAAGAGTTTTTGAAAGATGTACCTTTTACTTATTGTATTTCAGTCCCTTCCTAACTTCCTTAATGCTTCTTAAGCAGAACTGTGGCAGGAAACTGTGGAATGGGTTTGGATTTATTACTAATCATGTGCCACCTCACCCCAACTTTTGATATTGCATTCTCCATCCCCCCCCCCTTTTTTTTTTAAATTGGTCATGGGCCTTGAACTCAGGGCTTGGGCTCTGTCTCTGAGCTTTTTTGCTCAAGGTCAGTGCTCTATCACTTTGAGCCACAGTGCCATTTTTCTGGATCTTGGTGGTTAATTGTGAAAAGATCCATCACATCCATCCCGGGGGACCACGCAGAGGCAGCAGGCACACAAAATTGGAGATATGTGTTTCACAGATTTCCCAGCCCTGGCTGACTTTGAACCTTGACTCTGATCTCAGACTCCTGAATAGCTAGGATTGCAGGCCACCAGAGGCTGGCGTCTTCCCTCCTTATTGACACACAGATTTGCCTTGTGACCTCTTATCAGTTTGGGACCTGTAGTTCCCAATTCTCTTTAGGAACTGTTACATTCTCTCATATCCCCCCCTCAGCCAGACCCCTCCTCTAGTATTAGGGACACTGCTGTGAGACTTAGTGACTGGTTTTATATAAGAAGTGGGGCGTGATTGTACCTGGCAGGTTCTAAAGGTTGATCTTAGACTTAGTGTTCTGATCCCCATTTTCTTATATTTACATCTTGCTTTGCTAACTGGGCCTGTGGAGAGGGGCAGAACAGTTCTGGGCCATTGCTCCTTGGTTAATAGGCATTCTGCATAGGGACTTTACCAACTTGTCTTTTTTATCCAGTTCTTGCCAGGTAGTTCCCTGATATACCCCCAAGTTGGACTTTATGTTTCTTTTTGGTCTGGTCGTGGGGCCTGAACTCTGGGCCTGGGCGCTGTCCCTCAGCTCTTCAGCTCAAGGCTAGTGCTCTACCACTTGAGCCACAGTGCCACTTCCAGCTTTTTTTTTTTCTTTTTTTTCTGTTTATGTGGTGCTGAGGAATCGAACCCAGGGCCTCATGCATGCAAGGCAAGCGCTCTACCACTGAGCCACCTTCCCAGCCCCTTGGACTTTATTTCTTATTTCACTAGCTTTGCCTTTCCTTTGGCCATGCTCTGTATCCACTGGGACTACTTCTTTCTCTTCCTGGCTTCCTTAGCTCCAGTCCACAGCTGTTGCAGCAGAGCATTCTAATGGCCCTGGCTCCCTGGGGCTACCATCCGGCAGTATATGGTTATAATGGTGGTGATGGTGGTGGTGGTGGTGGCGGTGGCCTGGGCAGGAGAATTGAGTGTCAAACCCTTTCAGGAAGGGAAATGCAGAGCTCTTGAATCCTCTCCATTTTCCATCCACAGCTACCTCTGTTTCCTCCCGCATTTCTCCCCAGCCTCCCTTAGCTTCCTGCTCCCTTCTGCCTGCCCTTGTCCAGATTGGATTGATCCAGGGCTCTGCTTATCTGCTTCGTTTCCTTCCTACTCCTCCATCCTTCCGTCTCTCCCTCCCTTTCCTCCACTCCAGATTGCTAGTTGTTTGTATGGGGCTGGGGAAAGGGGCCTAAGCTAGCTCTACTGCTGCCGGAATTCTAGGTTGGGGTGGTCAGTGGGGGGCCCAGCCCCTCTGAGCCTGTGAGTCAGCACTGTCCTTGGGATTGGTCTCTTTCTTTCATTACCCGCCCCTTGGGAGGAGCCAGGCAGCTCTGGGTCCAGCCTGTTCTCTTCTCAGTCGGGAGAGGAGGCTGCAAGCTGGGTTGGGCTGGGAATGAGGCCTGAAACTGACTGGATCTGATCTGGGGGTGTGGAAGCTACTTGTTTTCCGCCCTCCCAGGGACCTCCGTGACCCTCAAGCTGCAGGGGTCAGGCCAAGCTAAGGGCCTGGGGATGCCCCCTGCCTGGCCCCCTTGCCTAAATTGGCAGGGGGGCCAGGCTGGGCTGCAGCCCCCTTTTCATCTCAGCCATGGATCTCCTTCCCCCCAAGCCCAAGTACAACCCACTTCGGAATGAGTCTCTGTCATCGCTGGAGGAGGGGGCCTCAGGGTCCACTCCCCTGGAGGAGCTGCCTTCCCCATCAGCCTCATCCTTGGGGCCCATCCTGCCTTCTCTGCCTGGGGATGATAGTCCCACTACCCTGTGCTCCTTCTTCCCCCGGATGAGCAACTTGAAGCTGGCCAATCCTGCTGGGGGACGCCTGGGGCCTAAGGGGGAGCCAGGAAGGGCTGCCCAGGATGGGGAAGGGGCAGCCATGCTGGACTCAGGTCCCCTGCCCCTCCTCCAGGACATGAACAAGCTGAGTGGAGGCGGCGGGCGCAGGACTCGGGTAGAAGGGGGCCAGCTGGGGGGCGAGGAGTGGACCCGACACGGGAGCTTTGTCAATAAGCCCACGCGGGGCTGGCTGCATCCCAACGACAAAGTCATGGGACCTGGGGTTTCCTACTTGGTTCGGGTGAGTGAACATCTTCCCTTCCACTCCCTCCAAGATCCTCCCTCTAGTGCCTTTGCTACCTCCAGCTTTGCTAGGACCTTCTCTTCCTGCTCTTCCCTAGTGTTCCTATGTGTCATTGTCCTAGTTCATAAACCTGCCTTGTCCCCTTCTCCAGTTCCTAACCCAGCCTGGGATAATTTGTCTAGGCCCCTTCCTGTTTTAGGGACCCTCCCTGCCCTCCTCCTCCCCACCCCCCAGTTTAGCACAATGCTTAGCACATCAAAGTCTGTAAACATTGCCGAGTGGCTTTTCCATTCTCCC